CTCTTAATGAGGGTGAAAGAGGAGAGTGCAAAAATGGTCTGAAGAACAACATCAGAAAAACTAAGATCATGGCCACTGGCCCCTCCTGCCAAAAAGAAGGGGGAGATATGGAGGCAGTGACAGATTTTACCTTATTGGGCTCCATGACCACTGCAGATGGTGACAGTAGCCACGAAATTAAAAGACACCTGCTTCTTGGGAGGAAAGTGATGACAAACCAAGACAGCATCTTAAAAAGCAGAGACATCACCTTGCTGACAAAGTTCCACATAGTCGAAGCTATGGTTTTTCCAGTAGCGATATATGGAAGTGAGAGCTGGACCATAAAGAAGGCCGACCACCGAAGAATTGATGCTTTTGAATTGTGGTGCTGGAGGAGACTCTTGAGAGTCCTCTGGACTGCAAGGAGAACAAATCTATCCATTTTGAAGGAAATCAACCCTGAGTGCTCACTGGAAGGCCAGATCCTAAAGCTGAGACTCCAATACTTTGGCTATCTCATGAGAAGAGAAGACTCCCTGGAAAAGACCCTGATGTTGGGAAAGTGTGAAGGCAAGAGGAGAAGGGAATGACTGAGAATGAGATGGTTGGACAGTGTCATTGAAGCTACCAACATGAATTTGACAAAATTCCAGGAGGCAGTGGAAGACAGGAGGGCCTGGCGTGCTCTGGTCCGTGTGGTCACGAGGAGTCGGACATGACTTAATGACTAAACAACAATAGGATTTATGCCAGCGGAGTTATGAAACAGGATACTGACCATAACAGTGTACAGTAAAGATCCATAATAATGTTTCAGTTTTGTAATAGCGTGTACCATGTTGCTTCACCCACCTAAAAATAATATTATAGAATTGGAAAGAGTGGAAAAAATATAATCCAAATATCAGGATCTCTGCAAGGAAGGCTAAACCACTGTGGCTTTTTATGTAGAAAACTATGACTACTTTTATGTGACAGGGAGGCTGCAGGGAATATAAGAGGTTTGTACAATTGTGGTATGTGAAGGAAACAAAGAGAAATTTATTTATTTTATTTATTTATTTGATTTATATCCCGCCCATCTGGTCTAAATCATTTCCCTTCTCATAAAGTGCTACAATTTGGGATCATCTTAGGCCCAGTTCAGACATGCAGGGTGTCTTTGGTCCATTGGAGTAGTACATGACCATATATTCTTTCTGCAGCCTCATTTTGCAGCATGACTGCAAATAAGAACAAAAGAAGAGCCCTGCTGGATCAGGCCAAAGGCCCATCTAGTCCAGCTTTCTGTATCTCACAGTGGCCCCAACACATGCCTCTGGGAGCACACGAGACAACTAGATACCTGTCTCCTTATACCCCTCCCCTGCATCTGGCATTTTGAAGTACCTTCCTTTTAAACCTGGAGATTATACATTCCCATCATGGCTTGTAACCTGTGATGGACCTTTCCTCCAGAAATCTGTCCAATCCCCCTATAATGGCATTTAGGCCAGTTGCCATAACCACATCCTTTGGCAAGGAGTTCCACAGACTAACAACACTGGGTCAAGAAATATTTTCTTTTGTCTCTTCTCTCAACACTCAATTTGAGAGGCTGTCCCCTGGTTCTAGTATTGCATGAGAGGGAAAAGAGCTTACCTCTATCCTCTTTATCCACCCCCTGCATAATTTTATACGTCTCATTCATGTCCGCCCTCAGCGCCTTTTCTCGAGACTAAAGAGCCCCAATAGCTGTAGCTTTTCCTCATCAGGGAGGAGCCCCAGCCCAGTGATTATTTTAATCACTCTCTTCTGCACCTTTTCCAGTTCCACTATCTCTTTTTTTAGGTGCAGTGACCAGAATTCTATGCAATACTCCAGGTGCATCCTTACCAGCATTTTGTACAATGGCATTATAATATTGGCTGTTTTATTTTCAATCCCCTTTTTAATGATACCAAGCACGGAATTGGCCTTCTTCACTGCCGCCACACTTTGGATTGACACTTTCATCAAACTGTCCACCAGGACACCAAGATCTCTTTCCTGATCCCTCACGGACAGCTCAGAAGCCATCAGCTGATAAAGTTTTGAATATTTTTTTTTTGCCCCAATATGCATTACTTTACATTTTCTTATATTGAAACACATTTGCCATTTTGCCACCCATTCTCCCAGTTTGGAGAGATCCTTCTGGAGCTCTTCACAATCCCTTCTGGTCTTCACCGCCCGGAAAAGTTTTGTGTCATCTGCAACTTGGCCACCTCACTGCTTATCCATGTCTTCAGGTCATTTATGAACCGATTGAAAAGCACTGCTCCCAGGACAGATCCCTGGGGCATACTGCTTTTCACCTCTCTCCATTGTGAAAATTGCACATTGACACCTACTCTCTGTTTCCTGGTTCTCAACCAATTCTCAATCCATAAGAGGACCAGCCCTCTTATCCCCTGACTGTGGAGTTTTCTCAGCAGCCTTTGGTGAGGGACTGCATCAAACACTTTCCGAAAATCTAGATAGACAATATCTACTGGTTCACCCACATCCACATACCTGTTGTCCCTTTCAAAGAATTCAAAATGTTTGTGAGGCAAGACTTTACAGAAGCCATGCTGTTTTTCCCTCAGCAAGGCTTGTTCTTCTATGTGCTTTAAAGATTTTATCTTGGATGAGGCTTTCCACCATCTTCCCTGGAACAGAGCTAACTAGCCTGTGGTTTCCCAGGTCCCCTTTCCTTCCCTTTTTAAAGATTGGTGTGACATGTGCTATCCTCCAATCCTCTGGCACTATAGCTGTTTTAAGTGACAAGTTGTATATTTTAGTTAAGAGATCAGCAACGTCATTCCTCAGTTCCTTAATAACCCTTGGGTGGATGCCAACTGGGCTTGGTGACTTATTGATTAGGTCTAAAGCATCCTCTCTTTTAACCTGTATCTGATTTAATTCATTGGTCAGGAGGAGCCATTTGAGCAGCAGAATCTACCCAAGTTCTTGTGTCGTGAAGACAGATGCAAAGAACTCATTTATTTTCTTTGCAGTGTCCAATTCCCACTTTCCTTCCCTCCCCATCCAAAGGGCCAACTGCTTCTCTGACAGGTTTCCTGCGTCTAACATATTTAAAGAAGCTTTTATTATTCTCCTTTATATTGCTGGCTATACGTTCCTCAAAGTCTTTCTTTGCCTTCAGTATCATCTTCTTACATTTCTTTTGCCAGATTTTGTGTTTCTTTTTATTTTCCTCATTTGGGAAGGATTTCCATTTACGGAAGGACCCCTCCTTGCCCTTTAAAGCCTCTCTAATTCCACTCATTAACTTTAAAGCCTCTCTAAGTCCACTCGTTAACTTGTTAGACAGATCTTTTCCTCAAAAATGTTAATAACATTTTTTTAAAGGTTGGGTAGGTGTGTAAGTTCCTGGCAGATAGGTCTGTAAATGGATGTTAACATACAGACTGAATAGAACTTCCAGTTGCACAGGTACTATGACTTTCTATTCTTTGACCTGGAGATGGGGTGGGGGGTGCGAGGGATCTATTTATGTGCTTCCTTGTAATACTGTGCTGCACTAGACAGCTCACTGGTCTCATTCAGCAAAGCTGTGTTTGTGTTCTTATAGCTTATAGAGTCATTGATGTCTATTCTACAGTGTAGTGTAAACTAGATCACTGTCTGGTTTTCCTTTAACAGAATATTCTTGCTGGAGCTCTCTTTGGACCATGGATGGGACTTTTCTTGTGCTCTGTTTTGACATCTGTGGGAGCCACCTGCTGCTATGCATTGTCCAATATGTTTGGGAAAAAAATTGTTATTTACTATTTTCCTCAAAAAGTTGCAACACTTCAAAGAAAGGTAAGAAAACCTGCATGACTGTTCGTTTTCAGTCATTATAAAACACTCTGTGAGTCATTAATGGGTAGAAAGCATTCCACAGGGGCAGATAACCTATTTATACAACCACAAGCAAACTCAGAATCTCTGCCATAATGTATTCTTCAAATCTGGATCATTAATAGTAGTATCAGTTATCTAATGATTTATGTTTTAAGCTAGTGGAAGGAAACAGGTTGACCAGATTTCATTTTCTTTTTGACTGAGGCAGGTGGAAGAGAACAGGAATTCTTTGTTCTTTTTCTTGTTGTTTCTGAGGCTATTCCCCATGACTCCAAATTGGTTTTTGAATCTCACGTCTCCAATCCTGAACATCCCTGTGACTCAATTCTTCTTCTCTGTTCTCATAGGTAAGGAGAAGCACAGCATTTACACTGGTAAATGTTATGGACTGACTCTTGTCATATAACAGAAATTGAAATGTGGTTTATAATTGGAGGCATGCTCACTATCTGGGGGTACAATTATTTACTTTTGGCAGTGTCCACTGCAGTGATTCCCAACATTGGGACCCCAGGTGTTCTTGGACTAAAACTCCCAGAAGCCTTCACCACTAGGCTGTGCTGGCCAGGAGTTTCGGGGAGTTGTAATCCAAGAACATCTGAGGACCCAACATTGGCAACCACTGATCTATTGAGTATTGGCACACTGTATATGAAATGCATAGTTTATATCCACATTTTCTGTGGTCCGTGTCGTGTTTTCTTCCCTTGGAAGGCACTGTCAAAGGACCCATTTCAGAATAGTGTGAAAATTGAGCAGCATCCTGAGGATAGAAGGTTGTTGGTTTTCCTGAAGGCACTTAATTTTTAATTAGTTTTCAAGCATGTTTCTCATAGAGTGTTAATGTATCTTAAACTGAACAAGCTGATGCTAGGGTAACTGATGTAAGTTTAATCATAAGTGAGAAAAGCTTTTGTTGACCAAAAGAGAAATGGATTCTTCAAACTGCTGCACCCAAGCACAGTTATTTTCTCCCTTTCCCTTTGTTGTTTTTGGAGTTTGCTTGTTTGCTTATTCGTTGCTGCCTAGATATCTTTCCCTTAACACTTGCACATTAAAAGTCTTTACACTTTATAATGTAATGTTCAGTCATTAGAAAATTTCCAGTACTCTGTCTGTCAATAGCAGTCTCTGTTTAGAAGGATCTCATCTGTAGAAGTCCAAAGCAAATCCGCAACATGTGAAACTTTCCTAATTCGAAGACTTTCCTCTTGCTTCTGCAGGCCTCATCCCATATAACTTCATCTGTGTCCAAACGGGCTCAATCCTTTCACAGATCACCTCTCTGGATGCCATTTTCTCCTGGAGTACTTTACTCAAACTGCTAGCTATTGCCATGATGGCATTGATTCCTGGGACTCTTATTAAGAAATTCAGTCAGAAGCATCTCAACCTGGACAAAAGTACCTTGTGTGTTCATCTCAATGGAAAGAAGAGCAACTGAAATAGTCTAGGTTGAGGCCAGATACTGAGAAGCCTATTTATGGGAAAGGTGCAATTTTTTCAACCAGGTACTCTGTTTACTAGCTTGGGCATCTCGTCTTAAATACTTAAAAGTAAAAGAACAGAGACTCTTGTTTCTCATTTTTAAAAGGTGCTTGTGACTGTTTCAGTGAATCATGTACCTGTAATGCTGTCAAGAAGAATGGAAAATGTTTTCTGCCATGTGGTTTTAATCTCCTTTCCATAAGATGTTAAAGGCTGTATGCCATGGGGAATTCTGAATACCAAGAACTGTCTGGAATTTAAGTCGGAGGTTGCTTCTGTCATGGAGAGGATATTTAAGAACTGGTCACCTATGAAACAGTTTCCAGGTTATGTCCAAATAACAGCACTGAAAATGGAATAATGTAGCTTTTGCTAACAAGCGACTGTATTTGAATTTACTATGTGAGTCACAGCTAAGAGCGAGTCACAGCTAAGAATTTACTATGAGTGTCACAGCTAAGAGCAGCAGGAATTACAGTTCTCCCCTTCCCTTCCCTTTGTGTTGGGAGACATGGTATTAACAGTGGCTATCTACTGCCTTATCTTTGTACCAGCACTTGCTTTACTGGCCATAATTATGGTGGTTCTTCTAAAGTACTTCAGGACAGCATTCCTGATTTTTACAAAACTAGGCCATTAAGGTCACTGTGTAGAAGCCATGTGGAGACAAAAAACTATTCCTGCAAATACCTATTGACCAGTAGTGGAAATGAATAAATTCTTGTCTTTGTGATTTCCAAGTGGTTGGAACAAGGGTGAGGAACCTGTGACCCTCAGCTTGTTTTGGACTTCAGCTGTAAGAACACATAGCCAGTCTGGCCAGTGGTAAGGGATGGGGGCTATAGACTAAAAAGTGGGAGGGTCAATCCCTGGGTTAAAGCGAAGTACAAGATACCTCTTTAAAAGGTAGCTGTTGATATGATTACCTCTTTTTTTCCTGTGGTAGAGCACAGATTTAAAACTTTTTTTCTAAAGCACAGGTGAGCAATATCTGGTCCACCAGATATGGATTGTGGCACCTGTCATCTCTCACCATTGATGAGGCTGCTGAAGGCTGTTGCTATTGAACAGCAGGTATAGGGCCACAACTTGCCCAGCCTGTTAGGCTTTAGTATGATTTATGAAAAGAGTTTCTCTGTTTATGATGCACTAAACTGGATTGAGAAGAACAGTAACTGATGCTCTGAATTTGGCATCCTGTTTTCCTTGAAGAATTGAAATAATTATGCTGATATGTAGTCATTGGACTAACCTAGACTTCCATCAGAGGTTACAATTGAGAGAGAACTCTCAATTTGGCCCCACCTTCCCTAACCTAGTACTTTGGGAAAGGGGGATGTCTTCTAAATGAGAGCATTGCATGTTTGTGTTTCTCAGTGGCGTAAGATCAAAATATGGTATACACTAGCTCAAGCCCACTCTTCATCTCAGTGTTCTTCTATCTCTGCCATATTCAGATGTACTCTTTGCAAAACTATCTTCAAATAGTACACTAAATGTTAGATTGTTACGTACTCTAGACCACTTTTTGATGTCTGAAGTGATCCAACCTGCAGAGTATTAGACCAGCAAGACCTTCAGTGAGTGGATGGATTTCTTGTGAAAATTAATCCAGATGCAGCATCATTGGGTTCTCTGTTATCTTGTGTGCTTCAGGAAAGTAATGGTGTTATGCCAAACACATCACTGTTTTGGGGAATGGTATTTCTTGCCTCTATGTCAATTGTATATGCCAGGAAGATACTTATAAAAGACTGGTCTGAGTAGTTGCACTGTGGCAATATGCAACTAAGAGAAGTGTCTGTGACATGAATAAGTATAAGCAACAATGAGGTGCCTTACCAATTGTAAATTTATGTTTCCACGGAAATTGTATTCTTACTGGATAAATGGCAGTTAAACCTTTGGTATACTTATTGTTTTTATCCTAGGAGTGCGCTACATATATACCTACTTAGAGGAATAATGTCCTTGCACTCTGCAGGGAGCTCTTTTTAACTGTACACACACAATAATAAATACCCTTGCCTTTCACCAAGAAACAGCAGAGTGACATCAGAAACCTATGTTTCAGTTCAGCACCATGTTGTAAGGGTAGCCTTCTGAAATTTCACGTTACATGCAAGGAATGATGCTACTGATAACTGGTGAAAAAACAATGAATATGCGGGACGTGGTGGCCATAGTATAGCAAATTACTTTTAAAATGTACACAATCAAGGAAAGACAACTTTATACCTAAATGAGGCAAATAAAAGCATACTAGGGTTATAAGAGAACTAAACTTCCGAAGTAGTAATAAGGTTTTGAGTTGAGAAGAGAAGGTAAAATGGCTATATCATAACTATATATAAATTACCATTCCCCACACCTACCCCCAAACAAGTTTTAGCAAAGGGAACAAATTGCTTAGCTTCTCTTGCAGAAAATCAATACTGTATGTGGACTCTAACATGTAACCCAAGATTCCAAATATTTTCTAATTGGCATTTTCAGAAGCCTGTAGATATAAATCACACTGAAATACAGTAATTTTCAGAAGCCTGTAGATATAAATCACACTGAAATACAGTATATAGGATTTATTTCCAAGTAAGCATAGGATTGTGCTGAACACAATGGCTGTGAAATCATGATATGTGCCACAAAAGGAGGTGTGAATGACTGTCTGCTTGAGCTGATTCACTGCCAGTTCATCTCTGTGTATTGCTGGATAGATTTGTTCAATAAAACTTTCCTTAAATATAACAGTATTGCGTGAGGCAGAGATCACTTGCAACACTTTTCTGTTCTGTGAGATTCCATAAGTTCCCAAAAGAAACTTATTTGAAAATGCAGATATCCAATCATTAGCATTGCTTTTTAAGGTAATATCGGTGATATCAACCACACTGGACATATGAGCCTGTAAGCATATGAGGTACACTGGCTTTTATTCCATGCATCAGTTTTGATAGTCTTGTTCCCAATTGTGATACAGTGTTTAGTACAAAAAAAATCAAGTATGCCTCAGGAAACTACAGAGTAGGGAGAAAAGACAGCATAAGTGATGTAATGATTTTTATATAATATGTAAACCAATGATTCCCAATAACCATTAGCCACCACACTGATTGTGCCACAGCTGGACCCAACAATTAAGAATGTAACAAGAGCAGTGAAAATGTCACAAATAAGTTATTTGTTTCTAAAGCTACCTCTGGTTTGCACTGCTTATTCCAAACATGCTTTAGATTTCTGTGCCATTACTCATAAAACTTTAATCAGGTATTTATTTATTTATGATATAATAATACCCTTGCTCAAAGCATTTTAACACAGCAAGGGAATTCAGCCCTCATAACCACACACAGGCAATACTGTCTCATAATGTGAATGAGATTATTTCTTTTGTCTATGGCTTTCAGTTTCAAAATTACTTATTCCAGAAACTAAATTCAAATTTTGTAATTAAGAATTGTCTTTTCTTCGGTCCCTAAAATGCTATCACAAGATTGTCACAAAAGACTGAACTACTTTTCTACCCTACAAGAATGCACTTTTTTGTTGGTCATGTACTGGGAAAACATTTCTTGTGCTAACTAGTTCCTTGAAAACAAACTCAATCTAATGTGTGATTACTCTTTTCTTCCAGTAAGCATAATGCTGCTTTACACAAAAGAGAAGATGACAATACAGTGGGTGTTTCTCAGACCCAATATTCCAGACTTACAGTCATTCTGACTGGGTCTCTGAACATTTAGTGATTGGGAGTGTTGTTCCCAGAGAAGAAAGTACCTTTCATTGGGCCTATAGAACAGAGCAGGCTCTTTAAAGAGCACAGTGTCACACAAATACCTGAGAGTCCCTTTGCACATTAAAAAATGTTTAGCCCTCACATGTGAGATAAAAACTTTACAGTGTAACCTGTGTACACTCGGAGAACTTCAACCATTTAAAACGGGTGGGCAACCTGCAGCCTCAACTAAGTTTTAAAAAGCACTCTGCTGTTGATAAGTTCTGTTTCCTATCTGTAAAGTGGAAAAGCTGAGAGAGAGAAGGGAGTTGCAGAGAGGTGAGAATAAGTGGTAGAATCAATGAGAAAAAATGGGTAGGCGTGACATTTTCTGGGCTCGTTTACTGGTCTTTAAGCTTCACTCACTGCTGACAGTCTTTAACAGAAAAAAGCCTGTAACTCCTTGTTTAAAATCTAATCTGTTAGAACAATGTTTTTCAAATCCAGTTAATTCCTATACAAATATCAGGCACCACAGTTCTAGCTTCCTTAAAGACAGCATGTACAATGTTTTTGTTATAGCATCATGCAACATCTCTTCTTACAAGCAAAATTACATGCTGTGTCACTGAAAATGGCAGCCCTGTGACAGGTTCTCCCCCATATCTTCATCACTACCACTTTAATATCTAGGACACAGCATTGTTGTAAGTTATCTAAGCCCAACAGTGGCAGCTAATGAAAAGGAAGGGGTTTTAGAAAATTCATAATGTGATTTTTCTGCATTGTACAACAATTGTTCAAGCCCCCAAATTACAGGAAGATGGGAGGCAATTTATTGAAGGAGTGACATTTTCAGTTGTATCTCCATGCTGATAACAGCATGTAGCTCAATTTTCAAGTTATCAATATCAGCAATATCTGCTTTTTAAAAAGTCTATCTAATTGATTTAGCTTGATTTGCTTTTTAAATCTCCGTGCGGTCATGAGATTATAGCTTCATAATCATCTATATTTTTTGTATTTTACATGCCATCAAGTTAGAACCTATTTATAGCAACGCTAACGGGCCAAGCGAGATATTGAAGGAGTGGCTTTACCAATGCCAAAATCCTGCCACCCATCCCCACCTCCATAGGTGTTTTTGTGGCTGAGCAGAGATTCAAACCCTGGTCTCCTAAGTACTCGGTTGTCTTTCTATCCCCTACACGGCACTAGGTATCACCTTGCAAATTTACTACAGTACAGGAAAATTGTACGTTTAGGATAAAGTTTGAGAGCCAATAAAAATAATTTTATAGCATAAAGAATGATAGGATTAGCAATCTTATTTATGCTTAAAATTCCGTTCACAATTTATATTTTCACCTGTCTACAGTTGAACAGAAGCTGCTCAATCTTACTTGAAAAAGAGAGGAAATACTTATGGAAGCATCCTCTCTTGTATACAGTGGCACAAATTATACCTATCTAACCATTGGAATGTTCTATAGTTGCAATGTTATGTGTTTCTAGCTACAGTATAACATTTTTAGGTTCACCAACAGATAAAACCTCTACTTAGAACAATGTCTTCATCCTCAGAGCTCTTGATGGTCATAGCCAATAATTGTTTGTTTGTTCTCCAAATGTAAAGGGAAATACAGGACATACACTGGTGGGGGAGAATGGAAGTCTTCAGAGATCCTGGCCAGAAATACATCTGATTACATTTTCCTTAAACCTTCCAGTAGTCCATTTAAAGAACTACACTGCAGCATAATACTTGTAAATGCAAGGTATGTGCAGATATCTAAAGAAGGGGTTCTCAACCTTGGGTAACCCAGGTTCCTTGAACTGCAGCTCCCAGAAACTTGACCAGCACAGTTGGCGGTGAAGGTTTCTGGGCACTGTAGTTCCAAGAATACAGGGGTCACCCAAGGTTGGAAACTACTGATCTAAGGACTATCAGAACAGACATCATGAAACCAGATATATTCTCCACTAATGTAGAGACTTCATTTTGGAAGAGGCTGTACATCAGTAGTAAAGCATATGTGTTGCATGTGTAAGACTCCAGACTCACTACCTCAACTTGAATCGCATGTTCTCTGTCTTTGACCCAGACAACTTTTACCTGTCAAACTGACAGTTCTGTACTATGTCCAATGCAGGAAGCATTAGTATGAAACTCCACAGAAAAACAATTGGTAAAAGTTAGCATTGATATAAAAGTGCCAAGTGCTTCAAATGGGAGAAAGCAGCATTCAGTGTCTTGTCATTCTTGATACCATCCCTCACTTTGCTATATTTATTTTTCTTAAGAACACAATCTCCTATCAGCTATTAAACCAGTATCTTCATGGCACAGAATGGAGATGCCTTTAAATTATTGCTAAATTGTCAACTGTTATTGTAAATTCTCTTACCTAAACAGTTACTGATTCAGAGATCATCCCACACAACATCCTTGTGAGTAAAATGCCCATAGTGGTAATGTTGGTTGTAATGAAGCATAATGCCCAGAAAAAAAGGCACAAAACCCAAGGAATAAATAAATGAAGATTTTATGAATTATAATAGCTATTACTGATAGTTTAATGATATGAAAAAATAAGCCTTCCCAAAAGAAGCACCAAATTATGTGTCTGAATTAGTGTCTATGGCAGACTTGACAGCTGCAAAAACATGCTGTTACCCCATAGTTTAGCCCATATTCTAATAGAATATTAGAATATACTTTGCCAAGGCAAAGAGGCAGTCCCGAAACCGGCAAAATCAGGGAGCTGGACAGGGGACAGATTGTATTTATATTCAGTGTGGAAGGGATGGTCACTCTCAAATTGGCCTTCTCAGCCACACTAGATGCTGTTCCAAGACCTCTATTCAGAGCACGTTACCATAGTTTCTCAAGACTGAAGGATGCCTACAGTTCTAATAGAATGGCATTTGTTAGTATGTGGAATAAACAGCATTTATGGGCCCTTCAAAGAAAGTAATAAACCTTCAAACTACATAACTAGGCAGAGAGTGCTGGGCTGCCACAAACAACTTAGTTCTGAATGGTCAGAGTTAAACCAGTCAAATGTAAGCATACAAAGCTTGCGTAATTCTTTTCTTCAGAGGAGGAAAATGCTATTTCAAGTGAACAGAGCTTCTCTTATTTCATTTCTGTCTGATGTATCACAGTGTTCTAGACTGCAAGTGTGAGACTACACCATGCCATCTCAGGATCTACAGGATCTATTAATTTTACACTCCATGCATATGCAGCCCAGCACTGGTTCAACTTGTTTGTAATGGCTTACTTCATGCCTTGCTGTCCACTGACTGCTTCAGCCAGAAAGGTAAGTATGATAGCAGAACACCCTGACTTTTGGTCCTCCAGGGATAAGCATCATGGAGCAATTGGACTGAGACCAGTATGTTGTGCTACAATAAACCCTGTCTTTAATCTACAGAAATTACAATAAATAATGACATAACTTATCATCCATGTAGTCCAGCTACAAAAATTTCAAAATATGGAATAATTTAATGCATACAATACTGCTCTCTGTATTAGTAAAGAATTTCCCTTCATTTTGCCACTAGGCTATTAATTTTTAAAAAATTGAAATCAAATGTAAACAAACAGCAGCACAGCATCCAACCCAATCTTGCCCTTCATTCCGGGACAGGGAGAGGGATGCAACAGCTACTCACTATCTCATATATTACTCTTTCTACAAAACAATTTTACACTCCACACAAAGAGACTTTCTTCCCTGAATGCAATTAACTAGACACAAAACAGGGGCACAGTAACGATCATCATTAACATTTTGGTTATAAAAACCAAATTAAAACTTCTAGTAGTTCGCTCCTGCTGAACATTTCAATTACAGGAGCCACAATAATAAATCCCAGTGAGTTGTTCAGGAAGAATGAGGTATTGCAGAAGAAAGGTGGAATATCTTGCCCTTAGGAAAGACAAAACTCCTGGGCCCTATCCAGTCCAAAATCCACCACTATGAACATATGGCTTAGGCTCCTTCAGACCTAAATGATGAAGAGCATTATCCACACATCACTGCATGTTAAATGTTACAGTGTACTTTGCATCAAACTTGATAGGCTCCCCAGTGATTCCCTACCAGAATAGCAGGAAGGGCATGAGTATGATCTGGGCCAGTCTACTCCCCCAGCTTCATGCACATGCAAGCCTCTCCTGCATCCTAGCACAATGACAGTTATAGGAACAGTTCCAGTTTTCTCCTTCACAGTAGTCTGCAGGATATCTCAAATCTGTTTTCCATGTTTGGTGAATTCTTGATCTTCAACAATAATTTGATCGTTTTTGTTGTTGTTGTTTTTACTGAAGGAAGCAAACAAAAAGCAGGATGTATGAGAGAAAGGAAACACTGTGAGCAAAAGATCTTCTCCATTTCTCTCTAATCACCAGCTGCTTCATACTGTATTTCTTGATTTCACAGTGGCATAGTGATGTGCTAGAGAGGCTGAAGCAAGAATATAGTTGCAGGATGCCACAGCCAACTGAAGTACCAAACAGATAGACAGACAGACAAACAAACAAAAAACTGGCTCCTACTCTCACATGCCAGGGAGCAGAGACTCAGACACGCCCTTCCAGGAATGTGAACACCTTCCTTCTTAAAATGTTTTGCTGGTTACGCTGACAACAGTTACTTGTACTCATCCACGGCTTCACTGGATGTGACTCAATCACTCAGTTCACTTCTTTAATTTCCAGTTCTACAGAGCCAGATAGCCTTGCTCAGGTTGCAGCGTCAGCATCAGATCCTAGCCTGTTTATGCATGCTGTCTAAGACTCAGAAAATAGTCTCTTGATTCTCTTTCACAAGCTTGTCTTCAGAAATATTTTGCAGCCACTTCTTTTGCTTATGGATACAGACCACCCTTCAGGTAAAAAGTGTTAAAATGCCAAAAATATGATACAACAGCTCAATTATTCAATAAAATACATCCCTGCCATTCATTATTGAAATGCTCACTTGAGAAACTGATTTGTCAGAACATTTCTCCAAAGATTCAAGTTATTGCAGATCATTTGGGTGATGGGGTGGAGAACCAGCTTCTCAGAAAAGAAATGAAGAAAGGGTTCTTGTGGGAATGAAAACGATAGTTGGTCAAAAGACTGAAGGAGGGAGGAGAGCCATCATTACAAGGTTGCAGAACTGCAGGCCTTATTGGTCCTCACAGTTGCATCAGAGCATTCTCCATCTGAAGAGTCGCCACCTGATTCTCCAAGTTCTCCATGATTCTGCATCAAAAAGCAAAGGGAATATCCAGATTTATTGTTACCTCACAGTTACACCATCTTATCTGCAGCTAAAATAAAGCTTCTCAATGCAAAATGAAAGAATCTACAAAATGACCTGTTGAGAAATTCTGAGATAGTAACATTCCAACATGTTAACCATGGCTTAAAATGTTAGGTTTGAAAATTAAGTTGTTATATGAAATGTGAGAAACTGAAAAATAATTCACTGCCATCAACACTGCATTGTGAAAAATTTTTTCTAATGAATTAGCACTACTATTTTTTTATGAATTAGCACTTCTTGGTTTTTCTTTATTTTGGTGAATTTGCATTAATCAGTTATTTTCTTAAAAGAAATGTATTGTAACATAGTATTAAGAGACACAGCAGAGCAGAATAATATAAATGAGAAATATCACATAAAAAGCATCAAGTTTTGTAGATTAACATAGTAAATAAATAGATTATACAAAGGTTACACAAAACTCACATCCTGATGAAAAGCTTCCCATAGGTATCTGGTTGGCCACTGTATGAAACAGAAGCTAGACTAAAGAGGTCTTCTGTCTGATCCAGAATCACTCTTTTACATTCTTAAATGAAGCTTTACTTAAATAATTGGTGAGGAAAAATTAAATATTAGTTTCTTGAGAGTAACTTATCTCAAGATGGTTCATGTTGTTTTACTGACCTCATAGCCATGCTCTTCTGAACACAACTTGCCAAGTGACATCTGTGTTTTAACCCTGCGTACAGCGCTCTCCTTGTCTGAAAGACCATCAGATTGTGTAGATATCTCTATGGGGATTTCTGGGGTCTGGGACAAAAGATCATCCATCTTGTCAACCAGCTGCTCTTCTCGCCTTTTGACATGCTCATCTGGGCTGTTGGAATGGTCACTGGTATTGCCCTCTTCTCCATCAGACACAGAGAGATTCTCAGAGCTGAAGGTTGAGTAGGATTGGCAGCTACTGATACAGCGATGTGGCCTGTAGAACCACAACATGTTAATTAATTTGAGTTGATTCAAAAGCTTGATTCAATTGATCCAGTAATTAGAACATGCTTGACATTCATACATTTATGTACACAATCTAAATAGAGACCAATCCTACTGGGGAACAGCTGAATTGTCCAAAATTATAAATGCTTCCCATCTATTTTTGACTAATATGTTTTTCTCCACAGTGACATTTGATCCCACATTTTTCAGGATTGGTCTCTGGAAAAAACTTTTTGTGAGCACAGGTGACTGTAGAGAGGAGAGAATGGAAAGCTTTCTTTCTGGGAATTTCTTCAAGCATATTGTTAATATTATCTATGTCAAATCTATGCTGTATAAGGCTGTTGAAAATCAGTTCAAAATTAAAGCAAGCTCTATGCTGTAAGATGACTCTGAAGATGTCCAGAATATTTCACCTCTATTTTTCATAAAATTTGGAATTCACATAACTTTATGATTGTGTATATTACATTGCCATGTTATTATTCAGATACAAACTTATTTACAAATTTTGTGTTTAAAGAGAATTTTGTGCTGAAAGATGTTATGAGAGGATAAAACGTAGCTGTAACGGTACCCAAAGTATGACATCATTCCTGCATGTCAATCAGAGGATAGAGCAGGAGGGGTGGAGTCAGAATGACAGTTGGGACAGCTAGAAGAGACAGTTAGGAGTTGGAACCAGATAGGGATAGAGACAGTTAGGGACCAGAAGTTATTGAGACAGTGCTAGGGTTTAGGAATAGCAAACAGGGGTTAAGAAAGGAAACTGAAAGAGTAAAATGTATTGAACAAGCAGGAATGAACACATAAATATAACATAAGAGATACTGACATGATCTGATATACTTTAACACCTGATTTTAATATACATGAACATATTAACAGTTATATTTGATTCTCCTCATGATTTTGTTCAATAATAAAAGAATATTTATTTAAACCCCTTGCTTCCTGAAATTATATGACCCTTTGGGGTGACAGCTCCTGTGTGTGTGGGACTTGATTTGGTATTAGGATAATACCTGGTGGCAGCAAAAAGGGCATATTTACCTTTGTGGAGCCCAGAGAAAAAAAGGGCACAAAGGGGGATCGCCACAGTAGCTAAGATGTTTTAGAGCAGAAAACAGTTCATAGAACTACTGCTTTTTAAATTGCTTTTTCTTAAAAGAGTGGGAGTTAAGTGTCACCATCAGCACCAAATCACTGCTCATTAAAGGTGATTCTGGAAAGCATGCAACTTGTATGTCAGGTAACATGGTGAGTACACCAAAGAAGGCAGCAATTTGAAGTGCAATTTAATGCTTCAAGTTCCCATCTTGGTATATAAAAAATTAAATCACATTGACTTCGTTCTCTTTTGTCAGCTAAAACTCATTTAGCAATTAAAAGTTTAGCAGTCTGTTGTACCTCTGTCTCCGTGGGAATTCCACTTCACTATCAACTTCTCCTTCTTCTTCTTCTGAAGAGTCATCACCACTCTGGCAAGAAGGCAAAAAGGAATGTTACTTACCATTTACAGAGAAACACGCAGCAACATGGTCACCAATACGCGTATAAACAGAGAGCAGAACTTTTTTAAAAAGCAATTCATCACTTTTCAGCTATGAGTACTGTTATTTTTAAAAACATTTATTTCAGAAAAGGAACGTGGTTACTCCAAAACATAATGTTTCATTATCTGTAACATATTGTCAAAAAGATCTGAATATAAATCCAAGTCTCATTCAGTAGCATCTTCTATGAGGTAAAGCCACAAAATACACTTCTATATAGCAGCAACTATGAAAATTGCACTCAGTAGATTCTGTGTGCATCAGAAAACAGAAATTATTTAAGCAACCCATTGCTCCTGGGAAGCTTAGAGGGACCTTACCTTTGGAATGGGTCGTGTTTTACACAGGAGTCCTGGGGTACTCGCATGATGAGAGGAGCCATGAGAGGACACTGACCTGTGGCTGCTAAATTCACCTTCCTCGCTTCTTCCAGGAAACTGCATATTTGCATACAGTGGATCATACGACGGTGCTTCAGGCAGCTCCAACCCTGGCTTAAGTGACTGTTCTAGGTTTCCACTGTTTGTCCCCATTCTGCACTCTGGGCAGAGGCTGTATGTACCTTTTTTACAACACTCCCAATGACTGGCCTTGCCCTCCCTATGCTCCTCCTCCTCGTCCTCCTCCTCTTCCTCCTGATTCCTCCGTGAATCAGCTTCCACAGCTGCAGAGATAAGGTCAGGACTAGAGCCAGACATCTTCCGTTGCGCATGATTACTAAGAGGACTACGCAAGGCTGCCGCAGGGCCAAAATATCGTAGGTTGTTTGCACAGTTGGCTATATCCTGCCCATGTAGGTTCAACCGAGGATGATGCCCATGAGGTTGGGGCTGATGCTGATGACCTGGCTGGGTTAAGTCATCCTGTGCTGGCTGGTTTTTCAAAATTCCTGTAAAATCATTGTAGCTGCCTTTGCTGTTTCCTCGTCGATGACGTGGTTTGCTGCGGTAACGTCCTCTGCTACCAAGTGCTGACATCTTGGGACTCCCTGAGAGGGGAGAGCCACCGGGAGCCACTTCTGTGTTGGCTATGCCATCTGATTTCAGCAAGTCAGGTCTAAGAAAGGATGCAAAATAAAACATGTATGGAGAACCTTTCACATCTAGGATTATAGCACTGGAGCATATCAGGCAAAAATAAAATAAAAAATAAAGAAAACAAAAATGTGGCACTTTAAAGACTAAATGCTATATTTTAATGTGAGCTTTCATGGACAAGAGCACTTCCCCAGACACTTTCACTTCCAGTTTTAATATTATTCATTAGTACTCATATAATAGTCCATCTTACTTTACATCAAGAATTTAGTACCACTTGCCTATGGGCACAGCAGAACCACTTGACTATGGTTTAGCTGGCTGGCTGGCTCACCGTTTAGCCTGGCCTCCAGGCTTGTGACAGACGCCTCTTCTCTTCATCAATTTTTCCACTGCATTGGCATGGATTATTGGCCGGACTGGGTGACGTTTGTAAGTCCCAGGGTATTTCTTTTCCACTGCTTGTTCCCGCCTATATGTTGAATAAAAATTAAATCTCTACTCATCTCACAATAAAGTAACAATTAAAAGAATATTTTCAGCTTTTCTCCAAGTCATTCAGTCAATCCATCAATTTTCCAAATTTCATTCCACATATCATACTAAATACTTATCTCAGGATTTGGAAAATACAAATTGTTTTCTAAAAGAAACCAGGAGCCCTCACTGTGGCTAAGATAAACATTCCAATGCACTAAACTATACTAAAATATAAAAACTTTCACCTTAACAAACCTGATTATAAAAAAATATGGGTGTTGGACCTTCCTTTTCCTTCAGGTTTCAAGTCCCTTACACTTGGCCTTCATAGAGATTAGGAAACCAATTGTATTTAAAATACAGCAAAACAGAACAAGTCTTGTTCTTAACGGCATTTATATACACTGCTATAGCATGCATGTAGATGTATATATGAGGATGCACATACTTAATGAGCTCCTTTTCTCGAACCTCCAACTGTAGCATGATGGCACTGAGCTCCATATACAGATTATTTGCTCTCTCCAGCTTTCTCTCATAATGTTCACGAATGTCCAAGGCATGCCTTTGGAGGGTGGGAGAAGCAAAGCAAAAGGAGAGTCAGTTTTAAAGGGACAATCAAACAGCTAAGAAGCATATATCAATGCAAATTTCTTCTCAGTTAAAAATGTTATCCACAACTTCAATACATGCTAGGCTAAGGAAAGCACAGAATGATGTAAAAACAAAATCAGGGTTGATCTATAAATGGAAGCATTCATTACAGAGAGCTGCATTATGGCCCCTTTCCCCAAATACCAGAACTTGCTGCCACCCAATGAAAATGATTACAACAAATCCAGAATATAAAAAAATACTATTTTTTAATTTAATGTATTTGAAAGAGATGCTCTGCAATCCTTAAGAAGAGATTAAACAAATTCTTGGAGAAGATGCCTATCAATGGCCTTGTCTGCAGTTTTTCCAGCAGCATCTGGCTGGTCACAAGTGAAAAGCACAGTCTGAACTAAACTATTTCTTAGTTGGAATCAGTAGTCTTTTTTTATGCTCTTAAATAAAACCAACAAACCTGAGTTCTTCTCTTCTACGACGGATAAGTTCTTCATCTAACCGGTGTATACAAGTTCCTTCGCTTTTAATCTTCTCAAAGTGTTTTTTTACTTCTTCTCTCCATTCAGCCTGCCAGAGCAATTTTGCATTTTGATGCTTACATGCATAACTAAACACAGTGGCACACTAACAGTACTGCACTACTTTAGTACTCTGGAAAACAGACCTGAATAATAGTTTATTGGTTTGACCACATCAATATTCTGAGAAAACTCCGAAAGGCTTTGCAGTACCTCATTACAAGTTAGGCCTGTATCTCTAACTTAATTTTAGTTTAAACAGATGTAGGCAAATATTGAAGAAAAAAATCAGCCTATAAAATTGCCCGCATTTCAGACCTATCTATAGTTTACTTGCTCCTCATACTGGACCAACTGCTTCAGAAAAAATTACATTCAGTGAGGTCCAAGTGAAGTTAAGGATATAAACTGGAGGTACCAACACACATTCTGATGCCCTTCTTCACAGTGGTTTTCTTTGCTGGATCATCACAATCATTTCCGAACACTGCCTGAAATACATCAATTTTACTATGAAGAGCATTACTAGCTTTGGCCTGTTACTCAACACACCAAGTATAAACTCAGTATCAAATTAGTATTTTGGAAAACAGAAACCCTGCACCCCACTACACCAAATGAACATTTGATCAACGTGCCTTTGTCGTTGTCCTCAACAATTTAATGTTTTACTAATAGTAATACTGAGTTAAATAATACTATATCTTTAATTCTTGCCTTAATGTAGTTTAAATCCACATCCCCGCACCGCACTACCATTTAAAGCAATCTGTAATAATTCTTTCCTCGCAAGGAAACCTGCATCCAATTAAGCAGGCCAGGTGCATATAAACTAATTAAGTTCAAAGGAACCATAGTGGTTTTCTTGGCACTGCCAGTTAATAGAGTTATTCTTAGGAATCCTGTTTTTTAATTTCTTTACATTTCTTTTCTAGTACTTCCCCACACACATTTGAGGCACATAACTACAGTGGATATAAAAAGTTTACACTTCCCTGTTAAAATGCCAAGTGTCCGTGATGTAAAAAAATGAAACAAAGATAAATCATTTCAGAACTTTTTCCACCTTTAATGAGACCTATGAACTGTACAACTCAGTTGAACAACAAACTGAAATCTTTTAGGTGGAGGGAAGTAAAAATAAAAAACTGAAATAACATGGTTGCATCTGTGTGTACACCCTCTTATAACTAGGGATGTATCTGTGTTCAGCAGTAAACAATCACATTCAAACCCATGTTGAGTAGGAGTCAGTACACCCCTGCCATCATTTAAAGTGCCTCTGAGGAATCCCAAATAAAGATCAGCTGTGCTAGTAGGTCTTTCCTGACATTTTCTTAGGCACATCCTACAACAGAAGCCATGGTCTGCAGAGAGCTTCCAAAGCGTAAGAGAGATCTCACTGTAAAAGGTATCAGTCAGGAGAAGGGTACAAAAGAATTTCCAAGGCATTAGATATACCATGGAACACAGTGAAGACAGTCATCGTCAAGTGGAGAAAATATGGCACAACAGTGACATTACCAAGAACTGGACGTCTCTGCAAAATTGATGAAAAGACTAGAAGAAAATTGGTCAGGGAGACTGCCAAGAGGCCGACAACAACATTAAAGGAGCTGCAGGAATATCTGGCAAGTACTGGCTGTGCGGTACATGTGACAACAATCGCCCGTATTCTCCATATGTCTGGAAAATGGAGTAGCGTGGCAAGACAGAAGCCTTTTCGTAAAAAGAAAAACATCCAAGCCTGCTAAATTTTGCAGAAACACATCTGAAGTCTCCCAAAAGCATGTGGGAAAAAGTGTTATGGTCTGATGAAACCAAGGTTGAACTTTTCGGCCCTAATTCCAAAAGATATGTTTGGCGCAAAAACAACACTGTACATCACCAAAAGAACACCATACCCACAGTGAAGCATGGTGGTGGCAGCATCATACTTTGGGGCTGTTTTTCTTCAGCAGGGACAGGAACCTTAGTCAAGGTAGAGGGAATTATGAACAGTTCCAAATGCTAGTTGATATTGTTACAAAAGCTTCAGGCTTCTGCTAGAAAGCTGAACATAAGGAGTAACTTCATCTTTCAGCAGGACAACAACCCAAAGCATACATCCAAATCAACGAAGAAATGGCTTCACCATAAGAAGATTAACGTTTTGGAATGGCCCAGCCAGAGCCCAGACCTGAATCCGATTGAATATCTGTGGGGTGATCTGAAGAGGGCTGTGCACAGGATACGCCCTTGCAATCTGACAAATTTGGAGTGATTTTGCAAAGAAAAATGGGCAAATATTGCCAAGTCAAGATGTGCCACATTGGTAGACTCATACCCAAAAAGGTGGAGTGCTGTAACAAAATCAAAAGGTGCTTTGACAAAGTATTAGTTCAAGGGTGTGTACATAGATGCAAACATTATTTCAGTTTGTTATTTTTACTTCCCTCCACCTAAAAAATTTCAGTTTGTTGTTCAACTGAGTTGTACAGTTCATAGGTATCATTAAAAGTGGAAAAAGTTCTGAAATGATTTATCTTTGTCTCATTTTTTTTACATCACAGACACCTGTCATTTTTATAGGGGTGTGTAAACGTTTTATATCCACTGTAGAAGTACTCTCCTGCAATATCTTTTGGGTTGAACGCAAGTGTTATAGACAAAAAGAAATACACAGATACAATCGTGTTCATTGCTTTTCTGGTCATGATTTTCTTTTTTCCTGTACACCATTTATACCAAGCACTGTTCCTGTTTCATTCGGTAAATACAAATGTAAGTAAATACAAATGTTGTTTAGTAAATAAATTGTTGTGGCATCCACCCAGGTCATGAATATTAATGTCCTATCTACATGGACCAATGAGAGTGCTGGAAAAGCGGAATCACGAGATTGGAGTTTTGGAGACTGAGAGCTGGAGAGATTATAGAGTTTGAGAGTGGAGATTGGAGGATCGGTGATTTTGGAGTTTGGGGTGGAGAGAGAGAGTTGGTGGTTGAGAGTGGAAGAAGTAGGATGTTTTGTTAAGAGATAAAGACAGTATTGTACCTTCATCACCTGTAATAAACAACTTCTATTTGGTTCTTTTTAAGATGACACATTGCCTGGACGTCTGTGATTAATAATAAAGAATGTTGATGTAATTAACTGGTGGCAGCAACAGAACACATAGCTTGTGCCCTTTGCTTGGTGAAACAACCAAAGGACAAGCAGAAATGTGGCAATTGTTCACCATTTTTCCCCCTCACTTCCTTAATATAGCACTATATAAGGTATTCTCTACTTTTTAGTTCCTGGTCCTAGCACACAACCCGTATTAAAGAATACATGGCATGCTTACAATAGCTGTGTGTGTCTGGAGCTAGTAAAATTACAAATTTACCTGAGACTTGAAGTAAGTCTCTTGAGGCGTACCCAACACATCAGCAGATGCAATGTCAAGATGCATAAGTGTCTGTCGGAATGAGGGTCTATTCCGTGGTTTGCTCTGCCTATCAAATTGGGGGGGGGGAGAGAGAAAGAAAGGGCATTTACCAATATTAAAACATAATTATGGGTCCTATTTGGAGACATCTAAGTAATTGTTCAAACTGAACTATAACTTCAATTTCATATTTATTACAAGCTCTTTCTTATTCTCATACATAGCAAAATATAACAACAATTCCTCTAAATAATAGTGAAACATTGAGAGAGAGATTATTTACATAATCTATCTGCCTCCTCCTTTCACTTTACTCTTTCCCATGTCTACACTTATTCTTTTTCTCCTGTCACAGCATAGGCTGACACCTCTACTCTATTGTCTTTCTCTCATTCAGTATTCAACCTGGAAAGTCTATCAGCACTGTCACTGAACCCCAAAACTAATTTACTAAACAAACAGGAAAAAATGGGACTCATTAACTCATTGTTTGTGGAAATTATAATGCAGCGTTAAAAATTTTTTGCTGAAGTAACAACTAAATTTATTATTACATAAATATGATACCCTGTTGTTAAACTGACTACTTATCTTTGTTTCCAACTTTGGGATAAATGGTGGAATTTTAGTAAGGCTGAAGTGGGTGGCTTTGTATACTGCCAGCTGAGCACACTATGTAAGTAGCAATTCTTACCATGTCTGTTTCATAAGGATCTTGAATCCATCAGGACAAGTGGAGGGCACCGGAAGGTGCAAGCTATTACTGCCTACACCCCAGATAATGGCTGAGGAGTCTACATCCTTATAAGGAATTTCACCAGTGAGAAGTTCCCACAAAACTACTCCAAATGACCTGATATAAAATGAAAAAACAAGAAGCCAAAATCAGGAAAAACCATACTTAATAAGGAACATAAGCTCAGATTTTATTTAAAACAAACAAACAAAAAAACAAAACAAAGATTGTGCTTTTTCAACAAATGAATTCTGCCAACAGTACCAAGTGAAAAGAATACATACTTTGTCTGAGAGAGAAACAAAGTTCTGAATACATTCAGACTGACTAGCATTTACTATGGTATCACTCACCATATATCCACTTTTTCAGAGACAGGCTCATTGCGAATAACTTCTGGAGCCATCCAGGCTACAGTTCCTGCAAAGGACATTTTTGTACTCTTATCGCTGAGTTCTTTAGACGTACCAAAATCGGAAATTTTTACAACATCATTGTGAGTAACTAATACACTGGAAAGAAGAACACAAGAAACCAGGTGTGAGGATCGCAGCATTTTATTTTTATTTATTTATGCATGCTTTATATCTTGCACACAGCAGCAGCTTACTTGGGTGACTTGAGATCTCTGTGGATGATTTTATGAAGATGTAAATAGTTCATTCCACTAGCAATCCCAGTAGACCAGTCCACAAGTAGGCGAGGTGTGACCTTCCTACCTGCCCGCAACACTTCATACAGCTGTCCCTGTGCACAGTACTCCATTATAATACAGTAGCATGGTGCCTGAGTGCAAACACCCCTAAAAGAAGAAAAAGAGAAAAAGTTTTTAAAAATACAGCATATAAATGAAAAAAGTCAGACTTAAAATAACACTAGTGAATGACACATGCTATCTATCTCATAATTCTTCCAAACAATATCATGCATTACATAGCGTTTACTGTCCATGAGATGACATTACTGTTCCATATTCACCAGCTGATCAGATGCAGAGCTAAACAACTCAGTGGACTATGTCTCCCCAGAACTATTTCAATCTGAGCATCCACCCTTCCATTTCATGAAGTGATATTGACCTTTCAGGCTGGTAAGGACAGAATACAGGGAATGAAATATTTATTCAGTTCATATCAAAAAAGCCCTTTTGTGTTTAGCAATGATGTTTTCATGAAACAAGGAAAGAAACAAAAATTTGTCTATAATAAAAAAGCCAGATATTTCTACACAATATAAGCACTTATTGTTATTCATAAACACTACTGCTGAAGACAAGTACCTTTAATATAGTTGGGAAGCAACTACAGCAATATTGTTCTCTTAACAGTCGATTATTCATGCTACCAACAATGGAGGGCCATAATTTTGAAACCTATGCATTTGCCATTATCACCCGCTTTTACTTACTCCCTTATAAAGTGAGTATAAGGACTCTAGTACGCTGTCCGCAAATGTAAATTCATAAAACTCATGTAGTTAAGACTTTCAATTTAGAACTACAGTTCTGAACAATACTGCAATATTCTGGGCACAGCGGAGTAGAACACAGAAACATGCACACATACAATTCGTAAAAGCCAACCTTATACTAGAAGAGTCAAAATAATCACTGTGACCTACTTGAAAGCAATGATGTTAGGATGCTTCAGCTTCCTTAGATGTTTAATATCCGTTTCACTTTGTTCTCTCACTTTCTTGATGGCCACCTCCTCTGTTCGGAATTTGCCTAAGAAAACAGCTCCCTGTGCTCCACTGCCCAGCCACTGCAGTTCAGAAATCTCCTCAAAAGGAACTTCCCATGTATCTGTTAATAAAATTAGTTGTCAATTGACATGCAAGATAGCAATAGATGATCCAGTACAATTGCATCCTGATGCCCCACTGAACTTAGCTCATACACAAAATACTTAGATGTAGTAAAGTGTTTTTTAAAAGACAAAAAGCACATCCTTCCTTTACTAATGTTTGCAAGACAAAGACTGAAAGAGACTCCTTTTCACAAAAGAAGCAAAACCTGAGATACATGGCAAACACCATAACTCAAAATTCTAAAGAGGCAGTCTGGTAGCTCCTATTACCTGTTAGATATAGGGACTAGAAGCCAGAAAAGAAAAGGATATCTAACCTCCCAAAACTAACTAGCTTTTGGACAGCACCAGGTAACTAAACAATGATACTGGTGACAGTCATTCCAGCTAGGACTACAGAGAGAACCCATATCTTAGCCACTCGAGTCAGCTCTTTCTAGCAAATATATTTCTGTTATGTTCCAGGTAGTCAATATGCAACAAAGCATACACCTAGTCAATGTAAGCTGACTTTGGCCTAGTGGTCTGATTTCAGAAACAGAAGACAGACATCCCAGTCATTCTGATGCACACTGGAAAGTTTAAACAAACCAACAAAAAACACCACCACGACCATCAAGCAAAATCTGATCTCTGAAGTTTAACTGCTTTTGATGTTCAGGGATGGGACTGCAAGGGATACCAAGTAGCTGATTACAAGTGGTAATTAACTTCAGATCCATGCCTACAAGAGGCTTCTGATTCATTTCCAGAAAAGAAGTTCTAAATACACATCCTCACTATAGATGGAACTTCCCAATCAATTAACTGAATAAGTCACTCCTTCTTTCACAGCTCATTTCCATACAACTTATATATACTTGTCTTTTCTTAATTATATTTTTTGAGAAACTCACACTATTTTATCCTTGGCAAGGAATTATTTATTATGGCAGGAGTTGAGATTCGCTGCTCTAAAGGTTATTGCAACAATCATGTCTTCTGTAAGAATTTTAAGACTATCATTGGCTGACCTTGAAAAGTTCTTCTTTTAAAAGTAATTCAGTCCGTAGTCATTACATTGTTTGGCAAAAAATCCACTGTTATACGTAATGCTGAGCAGGTAATTTGTTATGTTGTTTACTGGACTGTTTATTATTTGCCATTACTTTCTGTTGCTTTTTGTTAAAAACAGGATTGAATAGATAATAGCACAAGATTTTAAAACAATACTGTCAGAATGCTTTAAAATCCTTTAAGATACCCTTTAATAGTGATTTTTCAAAGTACAGTGGTACCTCGCAAGATGATTACCCCGCAAAACGGTTTTTTCGCTAGACGTTGACTTTTTGTGATTGTTATAGCAATTCGCAAAACAGTTTTCCTATGGGGAATTTCGCTGGACGATGATTTGGTCCGTGCTTCGCGGACCGTTTTTTCGCAAGATGACGATTTTTATAGCTGATCGGCGGCTTCGCAAAATGGCTTCCCTATGGGCGATCTTCGCAAAACGGGTGTTTTTGGGACCGATGCTTCGCAAGACAGCGATTTAAACAGCTGATCGGTGCTTTGCAAAATGGCTTCCCTATGGGCGAGTTTCGCTTGATGACGACTATTTCCCCCCATTGGAATGCATTAAACGGGTTTCAATGCATTCCAATGGGGAAACGCTTTTCACTAGACGATATTTTTACAAGACAGCGATTTCAATGGAACGGATTAACATCGTCTAGCGAGGCACCACTGTATACATTTTTACTTTTTACAAACAAGTAATTATGTTCTGATTCATTTACATTACTTTTAAAATGAAACTTTGTTACACCAAGAATTTAACTAGTTGCAGACAACATTACCTATGACTAATTACTTCCAAGCTTTGATCATTTACAAATACAGTGGTGCCTCGCTTAACGAGCGCACCGTTTAACGAAGAATCCACATAGCGATGTCGCTTTTGCGATCGCAAAAGCGATCACATTGCGATGTTTAGATAGGGTAAAACTCGCATTGCGATGATCGGTAAGTGTTTCGCTTACCAATCTGCGCATTGCAATGTTTTTGCAACAGCTGATTGGTGGTTCCAAAATGGCCGCCGAGTGCCCAAAATGGCCACCGCAAGTGTTTTAGCGCCCTGCCCTCGCTTACCGAGGGCGCGAAAATGGCGGTGCTATGGAGGAACTTCGCGATCTTCGCAAAACGGGTGTTTTTGGGACCGATGCTTCGCAAGACAGCGATTTAAACAGCTGATCGGTGCTTTGCAAAATGGCTTCCCTATGGGTGTGTTTTACAAGACAGCGATTTCAATGGAACGGATTAACATCGTCTAGCGAGGCACCACCGTATAAATTTTTACTTTTTACAAACAAGTAATTATGTTCTGATTCATTACTTCCAAGTTTTGATCATTTACAAATAGTGAGTCTCACACCCCTTAGCACACAAGCAACAGAAATGTCACAACCAAGAACTCCAATAAGTGCCTCTGTATAAGGAAGCACACAAGGACAGAAGGAACAGCTGCTAGGTCTTCAAACAGCTAAATACAAGGTCATTGCCTTATTTGTGATAATGTTCAAAGGTGAATGGGACATTCAAAATGATGAACCTGAGGCTGCAGCAATGTAATGGCATGCTGGAAGCTTAATGTTTGTTTGCCCTTGTGCTTGAAAATAATTCACATACACTCCTGCAAAAGACATGATTTTGCTTCTTGAGTTTACCTTGTTGCTGCAGCTTGTAGTCAGTGGAATAGGCTTTCCCTATAATATTCCATACTGGCTTCAAACAGCCAAAGAGTCCTTCAAGAAATCCACCATTGCCACTGCCAGATCTGTTGAACTGGATCTTGATATCATCTGTTCCAGCGTTGGTCTCTCCACCTATATTGTCCTTGTTGGCCTGATTAACAGTTGTTTCCAATTCATTTTGTTCTTTTAATTGCAGCACACTGTTTTCAAACTGGTCCCTGGAATCTTCACTAACACTGGTCAATGCTGTTGTTGCAACTGGACTATTCATGCTCTCTGATGCATTGCTATGAATTAAGCCCTTGTCTCGTACATCCTCTATGATCTCAGGTGAAGAATGGAGACTAGTGGCTGCATGTTCTCCGTGCTTCCCACTGAATTCCTTGTCTTCAGTGAGGGACTTGCTGATAACGGTTGTAGAGGAAGACCAGCTCAGAGGGTCCTGAGAACTGATCATTGTACTGTGGGTGTGCATGTGCATGGAGCAGGCAGGCAGAGATATTGCTTTAAGAAAACCAAATGCTTACTCTCAATATATATAGTGTCCCCAACACCTGAGAAAAAACAGAAATGAAAATGAAAAGACAGGATATGAGAATTGTATGGTTAAGATCACCTGAAAGGAACAATATACATGTATAAAGTGTCCAAGAACCATTATCGAAGTCACATCTTTTTATTTTTGTTTCTTATCTTTATTTTTATATATATTTTTAAAAGAGCTCACGCCCAGTGATTCACGTCACACAAAAAAATCTACCACTCTGCTTCAAGAGATTTTTCACATTATCATATGTTACAATTTCCCAAGAAAGCAATGCAAAATTAATTCTGATAGATGATCTTCCACAGATATGGTATCTTTCAGCAAAATAATGGCATGCTGGACTTTAACTATCTATCACATTATATGACGTGATATCAAAACCAAACAGATTATTAGGCATATGACAAAACTACTGGAGTACATATGCATTTAAAAAACACCATCAAAACTGCATAAGGTTCATTCCACTAATTCATATATCATAAAAATAGAATACATAAAATATTTTATACTCTGTTTAAACATTTTGAGTTTGATTAGATCACTGTTTATATTGTGCATAACAGACAGATAATTCATAGGTTGGTACAACATCAGACTATTTAACTGGGTGGCATTAGTGAACAAATATATACATATATATATGAACCTGTGCTATTTACAGGTAAGTATTACTACCACTTATGAATTCACTTTCAAAGCAGAAAGAGAGGCCTCTCAAATGAGCTCTTAGCTTTATATGGTCCACAGAAATGTATAACTTATTTAATGAGAACTAAATATTATATTTACATACTTGTCAAATCATATGTGAGTTACTTTTAGCATTGTTCCTATTTAGAACATTTTCACAGTCACAATTCTATGGTTCTAGAATTGCATAATCTAGTATCACAAGAAATAAACAAGACTGCATAATAACTTCTATAAAATAGCAATCAAAATTTTGTTGGAAAATGAAAATATATTCCTCAAAATCATAGAAAGATTGCTGACTTGATATTTAGACTTCGTAATCTCTTACAAAAATGTAACATAAGCATGAGAAGCTTCTATCATCCTTTTACACAATTTCATTAATCTGATATCCATGAGAATTCCATTTGCATTATCTAAATAATGTAACAAGTACACATCAAAGTTGTAATTATAGACGTGGAGTAAAGCATGAAACTGAAGGAAGGAGAAGGCACTTGCTTTTTCTCCCGGCAATATCGTTTTAAGATGTGGATCTGCTGCATCCAGAAGTCATCAAGCATACCATTCTACACATAAGCAATTTATAAATCATATACATTTCTGTTGATTTTCCACTTATTATATCTAAGAGGGGTAGTACATTTGCCTAAAGCTCCTTCTGACGGGGCTTTCGTACCCTTCAAGCCCAACATCAACACAACATCTTTCTTACTTTCATTTTTCCCCTGGTTTTGCAGACTGTTTCATGCCTTCCTAACCCCTGGCACTTCTCTCTGCCACAAGCACAGCAGAACTGGAGACTTCTTGATGATAAAGATTGTGGCGTTCACCCCTCGTGCCCCTTGCTTGACCATCATGCACACGAAGGCAAACAATCCCCTCTTTTACACTGCTGCCACCAGGTGATCACTAAATCATCATTGCTTCAGGAAGATTCAGATCCACACTTCCAGGTCTTTTAAATATACCTTTTGTTTATTGATACAGTTATTGATAATGATTCATGGATGTCTTCTTTAAATCAATTTATTATTATGAACAACCATCTTCTATCTGATAATACACTCCTAACTCTGATCACACGTCAGAATTCCCCAAACTCCACACTCTATCCCCTTCTCTCATATTCCACTCTTACTGACTCTGTTACGCTTACTGACTCCTTGACTATCTGACTGACCCTAACTCAGGCTCCGCCTCTTATGAGATCTTGCTCGGCTCTGCCTCTCAGCAACATGAACATGCATGAACAATTATGTAACAAAACATGAACCATTGACTAAATAAATGGGGAACGCTACAAAGAGCTCCTTCTGAGTAAAAATATAGCTTGAAACACTTTGAATAAAGCAGCCACGCCCAGCCACATTCTTCAAGATGTGTCCCCTTCATTTTCAGCTCCACAGACAGAACTTTCACTGGTGTCCCAGGTGCAGTAAAACTTTATGTGCTTCTATCACATTCCCTCCAACTATTTCCCACATGTCATTTTCCCTGCTGTTGCTGCTGCTTTCCTGCTCCTGCTACAGGCTAGCCAAGCTCCTGTGCACAATCCAAAGCACTGTGGGAATGGAGCTCCAAGGCTTCTTCTCTATGTGGTTGCAGGAGCTGTTGCCATTGTTCTTCTGCCAACTGTTTCACATGATGTGAGGGACACCACATGCCAGACTGCTGCTGCACGTCACGGTCAGCACAGCCCTGAGACTGGCAAGAAAAATGGCTTAAGCAAGATGTAGAAGTGGCCAGAAGGTGCTTGAGAAGAGTGGCAGAACACAAAATTTGAGGGGTTGACACCATTTTTATTGCTTGTTCTACAACTAGCCTTGCAGAAGCATTAAGTGGATGGCTTCCTGGAAACCTGTATAACATCCAAAATTAAATGGGACATATCAGCAGAGTTCATATCCTCCACACTGTCAGGTGAACTGATGAGAGGTCTGGCTAGTGAACTTCAACTTGGGAGAGCAGGTTCGGCAGTCTGGGAGACGAAGGAACCAATGCTAAGCCAAACACACTGGGGGGAGGGGCAAACCAAAGTTGTCTTGGCCATCATGACATTATTAGGATGGTGGCTCCTCCTTCTTCCTTGAGACAGACTATGACTCAAAGAATTAAAGTGAATGGAGGAAATATGTAGAGCAGCCCCATAGTCCATGGGATCATAGAAACATGTGAGCTATTCCTGCTCTGCAGCAAAAGCAGGAGCATTGATTAGTGGCAAACATTATCAATGATATGCTCCACTTCCTCACTAAGGTGTCAACAATGTCCTGATGGAGCTCCCATTCATGTATTATGAAAGAAATGTGGCTGAGGGGTCTGCCAGAGTGTTCTCTGAAAGCACTAGATGGGAGTGTGACAGGATGAATGGAGTGCCAAATGCATCACTTCCAAAAGCATTGGGTGAGACAGAGTAGAATAGACAAAGGCATGCCTCCCTGCTGTTTATGCAGTTCATGACAGCCATGTTGTTTGTTATTGCTTGGATTGTTCTTCCTTGGAGGAGTTACAGAAATGGTTTGGGAGCCTTGAAGATGATAAGCAGTTGCCAACTTCTTTGCAGCAGAGACCAGTTGGCTTGGATGCAGAGGTCCCAACCAACGTTCCCTCAAATTCCCAGCCCTGCTGGGTGGGGCTCTGCCCCTCACACACACGACTTTGCCCCCCGCACAGGGTTCCATCACAACCAGAACCAAAGGGCAGAAAGCAATCACTGTCGATGTGCAGAGAAGGTGGAAGGCTGTGCGGAGGGGGACAGAGTCACACATGTGCACACTTTAGAGGTAGCCTTGGTGGCAACAGTGAGCCCAACTGGTCTTCAAAGCATCTGCTGTAATGCCAATTGATAGATAAGGATGCTGGAAGGACATACATCGGACCAGGTTGGAGATGGAAGTCCACCAGAGCAGCTGCCATCTGCACTTACACAATGCATGAAAAAAAGAGTGAGAATTGGTTCTAATTCAAACGTCAGATCCACAAGAACTGATACTTCGCACATTGTTGTCATATGTAGTTAAGAATTACTGGATTATTTAAGCACCATATAAATGGAGTACTGTGGATGGCACACAATGCCTCATTCAAATCTCAAGTTCAACCAGAATTTCTGCCTTAATAAATCATAGGTAATATGGCATTGAGTCCATCCATTTGCTTTTCCTTTCAATGTGAATATGGAAACAGAACACAAAGCAACTATTTCATATTGCATCCAAACCTAGGTTAAGTGTACTATAAAAAGCCAGGCCTAAAATCAGAGATTTAGATGACAAATAGCATCCTGGGTTCAGACATCACACAAAGCTATGCCTTCCTGCCTTGACTACCCAGTTACATAAAGCAGGAACATATAGTGGTATGCAGTATCATTTTGTTTGTTCACATTTTGTTAGGATTCCTGTCTTAATGTAACATTAAATGTGTTCCTGCTGACCTCATGCAAGAACACATTTAGCTTTTTTTTGGAGGGGAAGAAGCTATGTCAGCCTGTTGCAACAGAAACCACAACATGTCTTGTAGTACCATTATCTGGTATAAGCCAACTATAAGCCATTTAATGAGATGGATGGAAAATGCCCCAATTGGCACATTATTATATACAAGCTTACTGGGTAGTTAAGTGGCTTGTTTGCCTTATGCAAAACAGACAAACTTTGCATATGGTAAATGGGTCAGTCTTCACACAAATTAATAAATGCAGTGACAGAAACTATAGTACTGTATTCTAAAACCAGTGGGAGAACTCTTCAGTACTGCAGAACACTCTGTCTTCAATCTGAAGATGGCCAGCATTAAATGAGAGAACTTCAAAGAGAGATTCAGTGAAACAAATGAGTAAGAACACATTTGTTTATACTGTATATCAATTAATAATTTAATAGTAGAAAGTCAAGCCACAACTAGGTGCAAATGCTCAGATCAACAGCCAGATTGGAACTTCACAGCCAAATGTTAGCATAGGCACTAAATAAAGCCAAGGTATTTCACAACTAAAACCTTAAGTCCAGAACATCCTCTTTCGTATTTTCAAATAGTAAGAAACAGAAAGCCCTTCCAGCAAATATTAATGGGGCAGATGTACCTTAAGCATTGAGAATGCAAGTAATTTAGGGTTTTAAAAGTAATAACTTCCTCAATTTAGACTGGAAGTTTATTGGCAACCAATACAATTCCTTCAAAACCAATATAATATGGTTTCCGTATGACCAAAATCATGTTGCTTAGCAAAGTAAATTGCACTAGAAGACAAATATTGATTCAAACACAGATCTACTGATCCAATGTAATAATTTCCATTGATTCAAACAGGCCTACTCTGTGCTAAAGTAAGTCACAGAGTAGGTTCATGTGAATCAATGGAATTTGCAGAGAAGGTGGCTCATCAAATATCCATTGATTCAAGAGGCCTATTCTACTGTAATTTACTATATTTACCAACAGAATTTCAGTCTATGATGTTTCTGACTACATTTCTATATTTCTTACAGCTTCTATGTCATCCTCAAGGACAGCCAAATGCAGAGCACACTGCAGTACTCTAGAAGAAAAGTAGTGCATCCAGGTTATATCTATCCAGAACTGATCATAATTGGCAAACCTACCAGAGCACTCCAGACCAGTAAGATGACTTGGCCTCAAGGACAGAAATGAGCCCAGAAGAAGTCCCAGGATGTCCCTCCGGCTTCTTCAAAGAGCACCATCCCATTAGAACATGTCTCTAATTGAGTTATTAGATTTGATCCCACAAAGCCAGCCTACTGTCAAGTTTCAGTTAACTAGCCCTCATCTAGCACTATTACAGTGGCCAGCAACTGATAAGCAGGTATACAGCTGGGCATCATCACTATACTATTCTCTAGACCAGTGATTCACAACCTTGAGTCCCCAATGTTCTTGGACTAAAACTCCCAGAAGCTTTTGCCACTAACTAAGCTGGCCAGGATTTCTAGAAATTGTAGTGCAAGAATATCTACTAGAAACATTGTTCTCAACAAATCTGAACCAATCTCCTGTTGTTTGAGCAGGAATATAGGCTTTTTAAAATTATACTAGTGATCAACTCATCAGTGCAAGGACATCCATACGATCAGCTCATCTACTGTTTGTCACTCATGGTTAAAGTAAAGTTACTTTAATCCATTTTGTATTTCAGTTCCCTATTACCCAACTAATTAAAACCTCACACAAACATTCCACATGAAACAGTGAAGCTGGAACGGGCCTATAAGGCCATCAAGTCCAACCCTCTGCTCAACCCTGCATGCATTTAATAATCTGACAACTGATTCATGTATCTGATTAAGTGGGTTGCATACCACACATATATATGCCTGCCAAATAACATTTACTAATCTTTAACATACCTCTATGGAAAAATTGAGAATTTGTGTTTCACTTCTTTTCTGATCCCTGAGCTTTTCACACTGTATTTTCTAATATCAACCAAAAGATTAACAAAGAGTTGAGTCCATTTTAAGTTAGGCATGCTTTCATTCAATTGATGTCAATGTTTAATCATGCTCAAATTGTCCTGTTGGTTTCTGTGGGATTGGAACATAACTAATAGTTTGATTCAAATCCAATGGGCACCAGTTTCAAAGCTAAGACAATGACTCCATATAATTGTACACATAAAACAGGAAACTGATCAATCCATTACCAAACACTAGTACAAGAATGAACAAATCTGGCCATGCCAAACCAAAAGAAAGAAATATAATGCCCTTTCTCAAGAATTTATTTGAAGAGGTTGACCAGATGTCAAGCTTAGCATTTCACAATTAATGAATATGCAATCTGCTATTTAAACCTGTAGTACCCTTATTATAGTTTGGAAGGTTAGCCACAGATTCAAAATGACAGTCAAGCTGTCACAGTAAAATTAAACAATAATAGATAAGAAATAAAGTCCTCCCCACTGTGAAATAGGAGGTTAATAAATATTTGCATATGCACCTTACATTCATTTGTGGAGATAAACCAACATAGAAAAGAAGTAATTCGTGTCAAAGCGTAGGTGTCTCAATTAAAAGAAAGGCACAATCATTTTTTCCAAACACTGCAATCGAACCACCACTTTTTCTATTCCCAACTTCAATCTTGGCACAGTGTCAAAATATAGCTTTTAATTATTTCCAGTTTCACCAATAAATATAGGAAACATTATGCTGTAATCTGACATGGATTTTCAGGATGAACAAGAGCCAAAACTCTCCATTCTAAAGTACTTCTCTAACATTGCTTTCTTCACTTATGACACTTATACTTTGCACTCAGTTTAAGAAAGGGATAAGATTAATTGCTTTTTCTCTTACTGGTTCACAAAAACCTTCCCACTGATTTCAGTTAAACCCCAGACTGAATATCAAACATTAATTCTCAATAAATAGAAACAGATCAGGACTTATTTTGATTTACATTGCAGTATATCAAAACCAAAACCTAGGTATGCAATTTTGTTTTTAAAACTGCTTTTTAAAAACATAGATATTAATATGATGTGTCTGCAGCTGAAAGCAATCTGTTTTCATTTGAGTAAATGAACTGAATTTAACCAGTAGTTAAAATAGTTAAGATCAGTTCATTAATAGCACTAGAAACTGGCTAATATATTCCTTTATCTGCCCCAAAACATACTGCCATGCATTTTAAAATTTATTAGCAAGAGAACCGAAGCTCCTCCATCAGATAATAGGATTACATTTTCAGAAGGAGACAAAGAAAAATCTGCTGGTGTGAAATCAGTTACAATGATCCCCCTTAATATTTGCATTTCTGCCTTTTTAAAGAGCAATTGAAATTCATTCCCTCAGATTTTAAACAAATGGAAACACCATTACACAATTCCACAACTGCAAATGAAGGAAGTCTGCATGTGCTGTATAGAAAAGGAAATGGACAAGCAGCTGTGAGACACAAAAATATTTTTGGCTGTAATATGGTCTCTTTCAGCATTTCTTCCAATCCACTTGCACTCAAAATGCACCATCCATCTGTTCCTCTATCATAAATGGCAAGAAGGTAACACTGGCCATTCTCTAAGAGTTCCTTGAAGCAAGACAGATTTTGTGAATATACTTACCATGACTGATCATTTCTACAATCCTGCTCCATCTTCTCTTGCTACAATATGGGTTGCAAAGCATATACACGCATACCTGCTGTGTAAAATACAGCACGGAAATTCCACCCACACAATCCTGCAACCCCGCTGCAAAGGAGAATACAGAAGCTACTGACGTCACAGATTCATGAATGGATGTACACTGAGCTGTTTTAGGTTTCAGTACAGAAGCTGATGTGATGTATGCTTTAGAAAAGGAGGGGCGAGACACAGAAGGACAGCCAATCAGAAACCAGCAGTAACAGCTTGCCTTCCTTCTGAAAAATCTCATCACAGAGGCAGACACCACCAATCAAATCCCTGCAACATAGTCTCAAAGGTTATGATACAGACCCTGCCAGCTGGAAGGGGTGTGGGGCAAATGACAATGAAAACAAGGTTAAGGCGTGCAGTGAATATTGGAACAGCATAGAGAGAAGCACAATTGCCGACACACACACAGCTGCAAAACAAAAAAGGCTCTTTTACCTTCATTAAATAATGGTGTGTGTCTATTAATAAAACTGTTTGGCCAGATAAGTCTTATGTGGCAAATGCTATCAAGTAACTACCATCGGCTATAGCGAACCAATGTTTTTATTCATCAAAGACCAATTTTTGTTCATTTAAATTTTTTAAGGTGATGTATACAATCCATGATACCAACTTAAGTATCTACTCCTGGGTTTCAGCACATTCATTTTCAAAGCATCCACCAGTTTACAACAAATGCAATCATTTACGGTTGTTTTCATCTCTTGGGGGGGGGGAGAAAAGAAAGAAAATAACTATAACTAAGTCTCTGTAGATCAAATTGCAACATAGTATAGATTAGTTCCTGCAAAGTATCACAATATTACCACACACCACAATAACAGTATATCCAGGTGGGAGAACCATACAGTCAAACATTAATGAGAATTTTCAAACAGGAACTGTGTTACTCTGTTACAGCATGCTTAACAATGAGGACAACAACAACAGAGGAAAGTTCTGTAGCACCTTTGACTAGTACAGTGGTGCCTCGCAAGACAAATGCCTCACAGGACAAAAAACTCACAAGACAAATGGTTTGGGCAACGGGGTTGATGACTCGCAAGACAAATGTTCCTATGGCCATGCTTCGCAAGACAAATGTTTTCCATTCATAATGCCCTTCCATATGTTACATTTATATTTATTTAGGCATATAACTAAGGCCCTATAAGGAATCTATTTCTACTTCCTAGGGGCAAAGACCACAAATTTAAAGTTAAATTATAAATATATACAGTGGTGCCTCGCTTCACGAGGATAATCCGTTCCAGCTAAATCGCTGTAGAGCGAAATCCTCATCAAGCAAAATAAAAAAGCCCATTGAAACACATTGAAAACCGCTCAATGCGTTCCAATGGGCTAAATACCTCAGTGTCCAGTGAAGAGCCTCCATAGGGCGGCCATTTTCCAATGCCTGTGCAGCGAAAAATCCATCCTAAAGCACAACGGGGAGCCATTTTACACAGCGGGCGGCCATTTTGAACCCAGAAGATCAGCTGTTTTGATCGTCGTAATGCGAAGAATCGGTTCCTGAAGCAGGGAACCGATCGTCAGGAAGCGAATTTTGCCCATTAAAACATTGTTTTGCGAGGTAATCGTTAAGCGAGGCACCACTATATACCTCCCAATGTGAAAACAAGGGTGACAACTCTTTTGGGAGAAGGGAAATCATACTTTACTAACAGAAAGGATAAGATGTAAAGCTGTTCTGATGAATATCATTTTCATTCTAAACCTAAATTTCTTCTGGTACCTGATCATGGTTCCAGGCATAGCAGTATCCCATGTCCTCTTAAGCTGAGACTTGCTCTTCAAGTTAGATAAAGCAAGCTGACATTCAGTGCAGCTTCAAAAGCCCAAGAACAAGACATTCCAACTCTGGTTTCTTCTATCTGAAAATAGCCAAAGAAAAAGATTGATGAGAATTTTTAAAAGAAGGATGCTGGACTAGATGGGTTCTTGGCCTGATCCATCAGAGCTCTTCTTATACTGTATTCTTAACTCAAACCAAAATAATATGATTTTCTTTCCCTCTGCCAAGTTGCCAAGTGTTTGACAAACATATAAATCATTGAAACATATCTTAATAAAGAGACAAACAATTATTACCGCTTATAGCAATTTATTTTCATTTCTCAAAATGAAAGCTTTCATCTGTACTAACTGGGGAAGAAAAGACGGTACAACAAAAGAACAGGACTTGGAGGAACTGATTTGGAATCTTTTCTTATTTGAGGTAAATAAGCAAAGTTAGACATATGTAGCTGAAAAGAGTGTCACACATGAATATTTGGATAAGAGGCCATTATATTTAGAATTTATTTACTATAAATAATTGTCAATAAATAAGAAATTCTGTAAAATAATTTATGAGAGTTAAAAAAACATGAAGGGGGTTACACAACGGTTCTCAAGATAACAGGAAATATAAAGCTAACACAGTACTTCCAAGACGTATTCATCTTGCTCTGGCACACAGGTTCCGTTGCTACATATGGCTAATTCACTCTAGAAAGGCCATGCAGCAATTTCCTCACTGACACAAAGGGAACACTCACTAATTCTCTCCTTCTCCTGCTATAAAAGCCATGCTTGTTTACAGATCACTTCACTCTACTGATCTGCTGCCAACATCTATCAGTCTAAGTTGATGATTTAGTGGGTTAAAACGAAGCATTCCAATTAAAAATATTCACTGTAAACTGCCAGGCTACTTAAGGAAGTGCAAAATGTTACATTAGAATAGACCTCTTCAATGAATAACTTTGCCCCATCCAAGGCTGGCTTAGATAAAATTCATACAGACTGTGACCCAAAACTTGGGTGAGTTTCTATCCAGCTCAGCAGTATGGGAGGTTTTGTTATTTTAACTGCTGATTGATAAGGGCTTATCTCTAAGTATTCAAAAGTTGAGTTCAACACACTTACTAAAGAAATCAAAGAACACAAGAGGGAGGCAAATGCAGGAAGGGGTGATACCTTTACTGGACCACTAAGGGGGGAACAGGGGGAGGCAAGGAGTCTAAATATTTTGTTTCCTTATAAATCATCTTTCAGTGAGTCTTTTTGTCTTTGCCTCCAATTATTCTTCTCTCTGCCTTCTAAATACCTGTACTGCAACAGTTATTATCAACAGAGATCATAGCCTAGACACAACCCGCGTCTGAAAGCTCATCCATCAAGTGTGGTTCTGGCCTGGAGAGCTGTGCTTTGGTTCCCACTATGGTGGCACAGCATACAACAGTATCATTTCAAGTCCATACAAAATCTAGAGGCATGAACAACTTAACCCCACTTATGGTTTTCTTAAAATTTATGTGCAAGTGGCAAACAAAAGCATTAATTGGCGATACAATGCCCTGACTAGAATGAGCAAGGTCCCTACTTAGAAAGAGTCTGACTGTCAAGAGCTCCCAGGCAGAACTTAATCTCACCTATCATCAAACTACTTGCAAATATTGCAGTTAAGAGCAACTACACCAGGCTACTTCCCAGTGATCCTCCCAATCAAGGGATAATAATTGTTCATGCTAATGATTAATAACTAAGGATTGTACTAATAATTCTTTTTTAGCCCATGTAGTAATCTATATTTTTCTTCATAATATCCATGACATTTCATTTAATTCATTCCACAAAGGCTTGCTTATATGACATTTGAGGGAGAAACAGTAATAATTTAAGGTATGCATATGATATATTAGAGGCTGAAAACACCAATCACTGAAACAACTGATGAATGGCAAATGAAAAAGTGTAAAAGCAAGACTACAGTTAAATATTAAGAAGACAAAAATCATGACTTCATTGATATATACAAAATACGTGGGCTCTAGAATTAAATCAAGCCTGAACTATCGCTAGAAACTAAAATGTATAAACTGAGGCTATCATGCTATGGATATTAAAGGAAGACAAGACTCCCAAGAAAATACAATAATGCTAAGAAAAAAGGCCGTAGGAAAAGAGGACAACTAAACATGCAATGAATTGACTCAGTAAAACAAGCTACAGTCTTTAATTTGAAAGATGTTAACCCGGCTGTTAACGACAGGATGTGTTGAAGGTCACTAAGTCATAGGATTGCCAAATGTCAGAAACAATTTGGTGGCACAAAACAAGTTTCTATCAAGCAGTATATGGCTACAATGTAGATTCCAATATGTAATAAAGTAATCCCATCAGCCTACCATATTTACAGTGTGAATGCTATTACAGTACTTCTATGAATATGTTCCATTAACCTGTTAATTTCTACAAAACATAAACATTCTGGTACACACTAGTAAACATATACATGACCCAGAGAGCGAAGATAGCAGGTGGCTGCAGGATCTTGTGCCTCTCTTTACTCAGGGTTTGGGGCAACTTTTCCTTTCACTTTATCAATGTATTTTATGGGATGTATTTGCAACTGACTGTAGCCAGTGCAGAATCTATTTCATGGATGGGAATCTGAGTCCCTATGGCAGCTACTTTGTAACTGTACCAGTAACATTATGAACAGGTGTACCACTCCAAAAAGGCTGGAAAGCTCTGGGTTACACAATAATTTTGAAATATTAAAAGGAATCTCACTCTGGTGGCATAGAGTGTGTTTGAATTGACATCTATAATTTTCCACCTAACAAAGAAATAAAAACACTAAACTATGCACCCCAAATTAACAGGTTAGACTCTCAGTCATACAGATAACACATACAAAAACATTTCATCAATTCTGGTGAGTAAAATGGATTAGCAAGAGCCACTACTGGTTGATGATTTTCTTCTGAAAAGAGTGTGTGCTCCTATGAATGCAACCAGAATCTGTGAATTACAGTGGGGTCTTGACTTGAGAACTTAATCCGTATTAGAAGGCGGTTCTCAAGTCAAAAAGTCTGTAAGTCAAGTCGCCATTGACCTACAGTGCATTGAAAACCGACTAATCCCGTAACAGGCCGTTTTTGTTCCATTTTGGTTTTTTTCTGGTCTGTAAGTCAAATCTCAGTCTGCAAGTCAAACCTAAATTTTGCGGCCAGAGAAGTCTGTAACTCAAAAAGTCTGTAAGTCAAGCCGTCTGTAAGTCAAGGGTCCACTGTAGAGCTAATTTGCTGCTGTGACTTGCACTGTTTCATCAGCAATTGGGTTCTGATCAGTGACAGATTTCGATTTGATCCAGCAAGTACAATCTTATGGTTTTTTCCTACTTCATCCATCACATCCATCAGGAAGTGCTCCCTACGCATGCTAATATCCCAATTCCAGACATTTTAGGCATGATAATTAAGAAGTACTGTACAGTAATTCTCACAGAGCGGAATGTAACTTCTGCCTTAGTCCTTTAGGGTTGCAACCTAATTCTGATAGCCAAGTTTGTTTTCTCTTTTTACACAGACACA